CCAGCTAATTTTTGATTTATTGTAGAGACAAGGTCTCGCCAAGTTGCCCAGACGGGTCTCAAACCCGCGGGCTCAGGCAATCCACTCGCTTCAGGCTCCCAAAGTGCTGGGGTTACAGGCTGAGCCACCAAACCCAGCCTGCCCTAACTTTTAACTCCAGGAGTTTGGAGCACATTAACAGGGGCACCATGGGTGCTGGTGGTTGGGACTGGCTTCTGAGAGGAGGTGCTAGTGCTAGAGCTGGAGGGTGGGTTCTTGGGAAGGAAAAGAAGCTGGTGTGAGGGGAGATGGGGAGGTGGGCGTGAGGGTGCTACATGTGAGTGTTGGGGTTGCCCTGGGACTGGTGAGCTAGTCTCTGGACAGAAAGCCTGCATCCCATTGCAAGCCTGGCCCTATGGACCCCTCATCCCCACATCAGGTTGGGGGCCCAGGCCTGGAACGGACTGTGGGGGCACATCCCTCATCTCTAGGGTCTCTCTCCTGCCCTCCCAGTGCGTGAGCAGCTGAGCCAGATAACCACAGCGCCACACCTAGCCACGTCCCCACGGCTACACCATGTCCGGCTCCTACGATGAGGCCTCACTGGCTCCTGAGGAGACCACCGACAGCTTCTGGGAGGTGAGGCTCTGGTGCTCCAAATTCCTGGGATCTGGGCAGCCTGGCTCTATGGAGGCCCAGGCTCTCACCACCCCCACTAGCCCCATGACCTCAGGCCTCACCCCCTAGCCCCTTGGGCCCCTCCAAAGCCCTTGGTGTCCATCAGGCAGCTGTAGGGAAAGACTACTGCCCTGGGAGCCCCTATGACCCTACAGCTGCCCAGAGAGACCTTGTGGCATTTCACAATGTGGGAGCAGGCCCCTCTTGACTCTGCTCTAAGGACCCTGGCTCAGACTCCCGGGACTTCACACAGGCAGGTGCAGCACTTCACAGTTTGCACAGCCTTTCATAGCTGCTTCTGCCCCCACCCTTTGAGCTGGGCAGAGGCTGGAGCCTTGTATCCAAAGAAGTGTGAGCCTGAGCTCCTGGAACCCTGCAGCAACCCAGAGGTAGAGAAAGGACTAGAAGCCGTCATTTTAGGAGCCTCCAGAAGTATTTGAGACCTGAGGGAGAAAACTTCTGTTGGTTCCCGAAACCCGAACGAAAGCTGCCAAACTTAAATTAATAAGTGTTTAATGAGATGTCTACAAAACATAATATTATGTCAAGAAGCTGCAGCTCAACTCAGCGTGTATATACGACTCTATATAAACATAATAGATTTAGCTCACAAAAACAAGATGAATAATTCATTCTAGCCCAAGTCCAAATTTTAAAAATCCTTCCGCATTTGGGGGCAGCGAGGAAATCGTGCCTGAAGTGGGGTGAAGATGCGTTTAGACAGTGGGGTCTGATGCGGGGTGCGGAAGCCTGGGGAGGTCAGGGCTCCGGGAGCCCCGCGCGCGGCGGCGGG